TCTATCTATCTATCTATCTATCTATCTATCTATCTATCTATCTATCTATCTATCTATCTATCTATCTATCTATCTATCACATATACTGTATCCTTTGATTGGGTTATGTCTTTGTCTAAATGTTAATGAAGCTGCATCTGCTGCTTAGATTCTTTGCACAAAGCCCAGCTATGCATTTCCTGCTCATGTGTCCCACTGTTGTGGTGTCATGCCAACTGCATTCACAATTGCCAACAGCAGACACCACAGAACTTCCTGGTGGTCTCTCATCGTGACAGGTTTCTCTGAGTATCATAGAACTTGCTCAGTGTAACAACCAACCTAATAGGTGGGCAGACCTTATCTAGTGAAGGGGAGTTGTTAAGTGGCATAAGAGGAAGTGGTCCAGAAAGCCCAGCGTGATTCAAACAATCACATGATTTACATTCAGATGCTTGACAACTCAGTCATGTGATCATCTTTTGCAACATCATCACAAGCAGTCAGTGGGGAAATCAGATTCATTCAACAACCGGGTTACTTATTAATTTAACAACTGCAGTGATTCTCTTAACAAAGGTGCCAAAAAATCATAAAATGGGGCAAAAAAACCCTCTCTTAACCAATTTCTCACTTAGTAACATCAATTTTAGGGAACTCAACTGTGCTGGTAAGCAGAGAACTATATATACTACATCACAAGACTGTTACCACTTGGTGCAAAATTATTTCCAGAGAAGAAAGTCTCTCTCCCCCCTCCAAATCCTTGGGGGAAATGTCAAAAAAAATTACCTATAAAACTCATGGTAGCCATTCGCAAATAAATCTTTTTTATGATTTTTGTACAAGATTCTTTACAAAATCAGGTGACTCAGTGGCTGTTTGTGGATCAGAAAAGTCGACAGTTCAGAGGTTCGAATCCCTAGTACAAGTCCCCTGTATGAGCAGGAGGTTGGACTAGCTGACCTCTAAGGTCCCTTCCAACTGTTACTGTTAGTTATCTGGGTCTAAGGAGGAAAATATTTGTGTGTGTAGGAAATCCTGCGCTTCCCTGCTGATCCTCAGGAATCCCCTCCCCGCACAAATTGGTGGGGGAGACACCAATCATCCCTTCTGCCCCCACGTTAAGAAGGAAGCCTGGCTCGCTCTCTCGTCTCTCTCTCTCAAAAATAGCCTGACTGCTACGTCCGCCGCGTGGTTCCGGCGGCTTGAGGGACCGACTGAGGCGCCCTCGCCGCTTCTCGGTCGCCTCTCCCGAGATGTGAGCCGCGGCAAGCAGAGGACCCTCGTGCACTACCCGGAAGCAGAGGGAGGCGAGGGCGGGCCTTCGGCCGGAGACGAAACGGATGGTGGGGCCCGGCGCCGGAGGGATCCGGAGCGTGGCTTGGGTTGCGGAGCGCCGCCCTCCCTCCCTTCCTCCGCTGGACGCGGCGCAGGGAGCGATGTGATTGGGCGGGCGGCCCTTCCTCGGATTCCCCTCGCCTGCCCTCCTCCTCCGGCTTGTTTTGCTCCCGGGTTCCCTGGCGGAGGAAGGTACGCGGTGGGAGGGAGGGAGGGAGAGAGCGGGCTGGGAATGCGGCAGCCTCGCCTCCCGGGGTCGGAGGGGAAGGCCGACGGCGGAGCCTCTCCCCCGAGTAGGGGCTGCTGGGGCTCAATTGCCCGGATTGGTGTTCCCGCATTGCCTAGGAGCCCCTCGGCACCTGGGAACTTTTAGTTCCCCTTGAGATCCCCTCCGGGGGGCCAGTGAGGTGAAGGCATGTAACAATAACAGAGTTGGAAGGGACCTTGGAGGTCATCTAGTCCAACCCCCTGCTCACGCAGGAGACCTGTACTAGGGATTCGAACCGCCGACCTTTCTGATCGACAAGTCAGGGTACCACCTAGTCAGGGTAATTTATTAATCTAGTCAGCCATGGATTCTCCGTGGCGAGGAAATGCGAGAGATCCCAGCCCCTTAGTCTGGATGAATTCGGGTGGGGGAGAGAGAAACCACGAGGGAAAGGACCAAGCAGCTGGAAATCCTTGAGTCCTGGGCTTCTGCTTTAAAGTTCTACCCTGGGAGGTGGGATCTCTCGCATGTTTCTTCTCGGAGGGGTGAATCTTTGCCCAGTAAATCTTGGATGGAGTTTTATTGTTCCATCTATAATTCTGTTTTTGGGGAGGTAGTTAAACATAGCAGCTAGGAAAGATATATACAGGGATCTGATCTTGGCTGATCTATTTTTTTTTTTTAAAAAAGCAGGATTAGTTACCATTTGGATTGGAGGCGCCAAGAAGTCTTCAGATTATAAACCTGAGTGGAAAATTAAAAAAAGAAAGAAAGAAAATCCCAGAAGAAGGCAGGGCCAATTGTTTCTGTACTGTTGCCAAGAAAACGTGTAAGACATATCCCAAAAAATCACCAGAGGGAAGGGAGTTCAATCTCAAGGAGTCTTGAGAATCCACTTACTTTCAAGAGGTGTTCTATAAAAGAGAATTCTCGACAGTTTATGAAACGGTGAGAAAAAAGTTGTCCTTCAGACTGAATTTTGTTTGTAGTTGTCTAGTATTAATGATTTTAATCACTGGCTTCCTTGCCATCACATTGCTAGCAGTGGAAATGTGTCCTTTTGTATTGTATTGTATGAATGCATCTCTCACATTTAAAACAGATTTGTTTTTTTGAAGAGTTCTGCGGAAGTCTGCTATATTTAGAGGATAGCATAGCAGTGTAGATAAAGATCAATATGTAAGAGAAAGATCCATTAATGTGGTTTAACTGAATAACCATATGGCAGATAAGATAGCAATGTAAAGCCGTTTGTCACAAAAGATGCAAATGATAAACAGTGGCAGTATAACTTAAGTTTTCTTTCGTTTTCCAATATTATCTATTGTACTATGTTTGGAAATAATGTAGTTTTAAAATCTTATGGAAAATTATACTGCTAGCATGTCATATGTCTCTCTGTGTGTCTGTCTGTCTTTATATGCCTTTGAGTCAACATTGACTCCTGGTGACTGCCTGAACAAGTTCTTGAGTTTTCTTGGCAAGATGTTAAAAGTGATTTGCCTTTGCCTCCTTCCTAGGTCTGAAAGGACTGACCTAAGGTCTTCCAGTTGGCTTTGTGCCTAAGGCAGGGTTAGAACACACTCTTTCCCAATTTCTAGCACAAGTGTGTCCAATCCCATGCAGCCCTGGACAGCTAGTAATGCTGCCCTCCACACAAGATCATAAACTTTTAACATTACTGTGCATTTATATACATTTCTCTCTCCCTCTCTCTCAAATATATACCATATTTGTATATTTTTTGTAAGCTGCCTAGAGTCACTGAAAGTGAATGGGCAGCTGTATAAATTCTCAAAATAAATGCAAATATATTTTATATAGGCCAAGACAATTCCTTTTCACTCAATGAGGCTCAGGCAAACCAAAATGTTGGATATGTCTGTACTAGCATGATGCCCTAACCCCGTGATGGCGAAACTATGGCACATGTGCCAGAGGTGGCACACGCAGCCTTCTCTGCTGGCATGTGCGCCGTCGCACCAGGTCAGATCTCCGTGGCGTTTCTTATGTGAGCTTGTTTCCCTGCAAATGATGAAACAGAAGCTCATGAAAGAAAAAGATCTTACCTCTTGCCAGTGTTGGGATGCCGCACCTTCCGCTGGCCAGCTGATCTTCGGATCTCTGCTGCGCATGCACGCATGCACACCTTTCAGTTTGGGTATGCTTGTGCATGGTTTGGGCACTGGGTGTCTAAAAGGTTTGCCATCACTTCCTTAACCAGTACACCTGACTGGCTCTGTTACTTTTACAGAATAAAAATACTATCCATGGGCTATAGCTAGTGTCTATGCTATGTGATACTTTTATTGTACCTTTTTTCTATAGTAAAATGAAAAACATGCAATGAAGCTTTACAACACTGACTGTTTGATTATTTTCATATTAATTAAGTCTCTATTTGGAAGAAGAATGGGATTAAACTATATGTAATAAGGGAACACCAACATTTCAAAGAATGCAGCTCTTCCTCATAGTGTGAATAGAGGGGATAGATTCAAGAAGATTGGTAGAGAAATGAAGAAAATTAATCCAAATTTATTGAGAAAGCAATTGTATTTTCCTTGTTTTCTATAGTCAGAACTTTCTGGTGAATCCTGATATTTAGGACAACAGTGTTATACTTTTTAAAACAATATTGTCATTAGCATTGGTAGCAAAATAATCTGTGAATCAAGCTCTGGAACAGATCGTTCCAATTGCTACATGCTTCAAGTAAAAGTATGCTGTAGAACTGGAATAACGTTGCCTTGAGATGATTGTTTAATGTTTATACTGATGAAACAATTCAACATTTAGGGTGATTTTAATGATTGCTCAGATTCCTCAGTCTCAATTATAACAGCCAACAGAAACTACAGTGCCATGTACAAGACTAAAGACCTTTCCTATAGGATATGTGACTGCAGTAAATATTGAAGTGGGAATTTTCTAAGTTAATTACTGTAGTATTACAACTCAGTTCTATGACCTTAAATGTACTCACAGTTCATATTAAGTGCTTCGTAAGTACCTAAACTTCATCCTGAAATGATTGCCTAGAACTGCAGTGCAGATAAGTTGCAATACAGATCATTTGGTCAGAAAGTACTACTTGGACTTTCATTACTGTGCTCTAGAATTGTTCTTGAAACCTTTTAAAATTGTTTTAAAATGTAAGTAGCCCTTTTTCCTATGTAAACAAAATCAGGTAAATATCATGGACTGGTTTCTTGGATACTAAGTATCCTGAGATAATGACTGCAAAGACTGTTAACCTGAAATCTCATGTAGCCATTTTGAAGAACAATGATCAAGTTTGATAATGGTGAACTATAATTTATTATAAACCTATTATAAATAATGGGTTTTACAAACTGAAAATGTCAAAATTGTATTTTGAATCAGGTCGATTAAGATAATACTCAAGTTACTTCAAGTAGTTAATAAAATATTTCAGTGGAGCATGGCATTTTACATGTTATTTTCCATAGATATTATTGCTAATAAACATTGATCTATTTTCCTGGAAATTCAGAATTAAAATCATTAGAGAATGTTTTAAAAATGATGCTAAATTAAAGGTAGGAATCTATGCAGCATTAATGCTATATCCATTATATTATATTTTTAAATAATGCAAGTTTTAACATAGGATTGCTTTAAATTATAGACATTTCCTTTGATATATTGTGTAATAGTGTTTTTTTTTCCCTGAAAGATGAAAGCAGGTGTATGTGCGCGTGTATTTCATTCATTCATTTTCACCATTCTAAATTCAGAATGTTCCTAGTTTGGACAAAAGTCCAAACTTTCTTTGATCATTAACTAAGGCCACTATGCCTCTATATATTGAAACCAAAAGAAAACAGCTACAAAACCATCTACTGCAATTAGAACAGTTCTGCAATTAGTTTAGGATGTTGAGATGATTCATAGCAGGAATAAAAGCTGATTCAACATCTTACCTTCTGAGCAATATGTGCCCATAGCTCTCATAATCATACTGGGGTGAGTGACACTGACAGTTACACATTCCTAGTTCGGAATAATATGCCTCTTTGTATGTTGAAAGTAGAGGTCATAATTTTAAACAAATTTCACTGTTTATAGAACATAAGTATGCTTGTATTTTAGTTAATGATCAGAATTAGAGTGTGTTGAATCAAAATTTTGGTTTTCTTCAGACAAGAAAGAACTCTGATGTCCCTAGTTGTTTTCATTAGTTTTACTTTAATCATTGCATCCTAGTTCTTAGTTTTTGCTAACTTCAGAAAAAGTAGCCATTTCCGTGGAAAATCTTTTTACATATAATTCCTTGCTTTTCATAGTAGATGGAAGGTGTCTCATATCCCACCTTCCATGAAAAACAAATGAGACTTTAATAATCAAGTAACATATGCCATAAACTATCCATTAATTGCTTGAGAACCCTTTTAAATGCTTATGATAATCAAACTTAACAATAATTGTGATACTAGTATAGGTTGGAAGGCGATTTGTATCTTACATAAAGCAGAGATAATTCAGTCCTGTAGTCCTGCTGTAATGAAACAGATGCATCATAATAAACGTAATTCGTTGAAGGCATTAGTCGTATAGCTGCCAGCTCTGAACATATGTTATCTATGTGTTGTGATGGGGCCATTGTTACCAAATAATGTGTAGGAGTGTAAATGAAACTTGAGGATCTCTAATATTTGCTAAAGGATCTTTAAACAAAGTTTAGCATCTTTGCCTTAAAGCTCTAAGGCAGGGGTGTCAAACTTGCGTCATCATGGCATCATCAGGTGATGTATCAGGACCTCCCCCCCCCTTCACTAAACCAGACGTAGGCGTGGCCAGAGTTTGATGCATCTGGCCTGCGGGCCGGGAGTTTGACAGCCCTGAACTAATGGATCTTTAAACAAAGGCCGAAAATAAATGTGAATTCATAGTGAATTACTCAATTACTACACATCCATCCTCTTCAAATTGAAAGAGGTTTTATGTATCTCTGTGTGTATTGCTACCTACTTATATAAAAATTTCACCATTACGTGTGAGAGATGTTGGGCTGAAAGTGAAGGACAAGTCCAAAATCACCCACTCAGCTCCATAGTTGAGTGGAGCTGAACTTGAGTTTGCCAGACCAGGGCTACTTACCTTAAAACCGCTACATTATATACTTGCATAAGAACCACATATGCATATAGAAAGGGGGCAAAATGGCTCAGCAGTTAAAGATGCTGGGCTTGTGAGCTGGGAAACTGAAAGCTGGTTTCGAGATCCAAACACCATGCAATGGAGTGAGCTCCAGTTATTTGTTTAGCTTTTGCCAATCTAGCATTTCAAAAGCATGCAAATGTCAGCAGATATTAGGTACCATTTCAGTGGAAAGGTAGCAGCGTTCCTTGTGACTTGGCATATAGTCATGCTGGCCACATGATCACGGAAATGTCTCCAGATAACACAGGTTCCCTCCACTAGAAAAACGGAGATCAGCACTGCCCTGCATAGTTGGATACAACTGGACAAGGGGAAACATTTACATTAATGCATATAGAATAAAAATATTCCATAGCCAAAAATTACTGGAAAATAGTAAAGGCAAGTAGGAAAAACTGAACAAATTTCAGAGTGGGAACCCCTTCTCTAATCCATGGTCACTAAACCCTGAAGCCCAACACTGCCTCCCTTGGTGTTTATTAAAACATTTTATAATTAGCATATTGCAGCCAATGCTAATATCACATTATCTTGCTACTGTCAATAGAATATCTTAAAATCAAAAAGCCAAAAATTGCTTACTATGCCTGTACCAGTATTTTTCAACTTTAATACTCTGGATTTTTAATTCCCAGAATTTCCTAGCTGCGGAATTGGTCCATGGATCTTAATATTGCTAAGGTTGAAAAACACTGATGTATCTAGGCAATTCTTATTATTGTGTACTATTATATATTACTTTTCCTCACAATGGCTAATTATTATTTTTGTTTTTAAGGCGCAGAGCATGGAGAATGATGAATTTCCGTCAGAGGATGGGATGGATTGGTGTGGGACTGTATCTAATAGCAAGTGCTGCAGCATTTTACTATGTCTTCGAAATCAATGAGACTTACAATCGACTAGCACTGGAACACATTCAGCAACCACCAGAGAAATTTAAACAAGAAATCAGCTGGATGCATTCCTTAAAAACACGTCTTCTCTCTGTACCCTTTTGGCTATGGGCCATTATCTTTTTAATACCTTATTTGCAAATGTTCTTATTTCTTTACTCATGTACGAGGGCTGATCCTAAAACAGTGGGCTACTGCATAATTCCTATCTGCTTGGCTGTGGTTTGCAATCGTCATCAAACATTTGCAAAGGCCTCCAATCAAATCAGCAGACTGCAGCTTATTGACACGTAAGGAAATCAATGTGGCTTGCCCTCGCTCCTTCCCCCATGGCTGGTTTTTGATAAGTTGAAGATCGGTTGAATATCTGAAAAGAACTTGAAATTCTTTTTCTCAACATTAACCTCTGGACAGAGCACCCACCAACCTTCTATTTTTTTTAACGATGCTTTTTAACTATGGGAGTAAAAGTTCTTTGAAAACGGGGGGTAACATTCTTCATATTTGCCTTACAAGCAGAATTTCTACACTCCATCTGAAGATTTTAGAGTAAATATATATTTGAAACCCTAATTCACTGTGCATCTTTCAAAACTTCAAGTTTCCTATAAGCAAATTGCTGAAAATTAAATTTGCCTATGTTTATGTGTAAATTTTGAAATTATTATAAAAGTGGCATTTGAGACATTGTCCTTTCTCCTTTGATGATGTTGCACTAAATAAATTGGGATTCCTTTTGCACATGATATGTTTAAAAGAAAATTATCTTTTTATTTGTTCATATATTTTATTTCTGTATTATTTCTTCAAAATGCAAGAACTGCTACTCATGTTTCAAATACAAGCTGATGTTTTAGTACCTGAATCATTGCAAAGACAGTAAAATGCATTTTATACAAAATAACTAGAACCAAATTAAAATCCAGTCTACAGGTATCAGCAGCAATATTCTGAATATTCACTATTTCTGAGAACTCTAATCTCATAGAAATACTTGGGAAGGTTACTTGAATGCAGAAATAGGAAAACAATGGATATTCAGATAATATCTAACTAAAAATTCCATTTCTGATCACTTTGATAAATAGAAATTTGAGCACAACATGGAAAGTTCCCCATTCTGAGTTTTTAATCCTTGCAAATAACATACATTTATACATCAAAACTACTAAGCTATATGTGCTACCTGACTCCCAATTTTGAGAGGTTACAAATAAAATATTAAAAACAAGAAAAATACAACAGTAGACAAAAGGAAAACATCTCCAGGTATGAACAAAAAAGTATGGCAACAGTCAAATAAAACAAATAAAAATCTGAGGCCAGAACTGTAAACCGAGTAAGCATCTCGGGGAAAAAACCACTTTAGTTCTCATGAAGATAGTGGGGAAGTACATTCAGACTTAAGATTCATAACAGCAGTAAACTGCTGTTATGTTTATTATTACTATATTTAAGAGCATCCACTGGGACTTGGGAGTAGAAAGCTGTTTTGGTGATCAGCATAGACAGCAAAATCACTGGAGCCTTTCCAACATTTTAGGATACAGTAAAAGTTCACANAATGTTTTAAAAATGATGCTAAATTAAAGGTAGGAATCTATGCAGCATTAATGCTATATCCATTATATTATATTTTTAAATAATGCAAGTTTTAACATAGGATTGCTTTAAATTATAGACATTTCCTTTGATATATTGTGTAATAGTGTTTTTTTTTCCCTGAAAGATGAAAGCAGGTGTATGTGCGCGTGTATTTCATTCATTCATTTTCACCATTCTAAATTCAGAATGTTCCTAGTTTGGACAAAAGTCCAAACTTTCTTTGATCATTAACTAAGGCCACTATGCCTCTATATATTGAAACCAAAAGAAAACAGCTACAAAACCATCTACTGCAATTAGAACAGTTCTGCAATTAGTTTAGGATGTTGAGATGATTCATAGCAGGAATAAAAGCTGATTCAACATCTTACCTTCTGAGCAATATGTGCCCATAGCTCTCATAATCATACTGGGGTGAGTGACACTGACAGTTACACATTCCTAGTTCGGAATAATATGCCTCTTTGTATGTTGAAAGTAGAGGTCATAATTTTAAACAAATTTCACTGTTTATAGAACATAAGTATGCTTGTATTTTAGTTAATGATCAGAATTAGAGTGTGTTGAATCAAAATTTTGGTTTTCTTCAGACAAGAAAGAACTCTGATGTCCCTAGTTGTTTTCATTAGTTTTACTTTAATCATTGCATCCTAGTTCTTAGTTTTTGCTAACTTCAGAAAAAGTAGCCATTTCCGTGGAAAATCTTTTTACATATAATTCCTTGCTTTTCATAGTAGATGGAAGGTGTCTCATATCCCACCTTCCATGAAAAACAAATGAGACTTTAATAATCAAGTAACATATGCCATAAACTATCCATTAATTGCTTGAGAACCCTTTTAAATGCTTATGATAATCAAACTTAACAATAATTGTGATACTAGTATAGGTTGGAAGGCGATTTGTATCTTACATAAAGCAGAGATAATTCAGTCCTGTAGTCCTGCTGTAATGAAACAGATGCATCATAATAAACGTAATTCGTTGAAGGCATTAGTCGTATAGCTGCCAGCTCTGAACATATGTTATCTATGTGTTGTGATGGGGCCATTGTTACCAAATAATGTGTAGGAGTGTAAATGAAACTTGAGGATCTCTAATATTTGCTAAAGGATCTTTAAACAAAGTTTAGCATCTTTGCCTTAAAGCTCTAAGGCAGGGGTGTCAAACTTGCGTCATCATGGCATCATCAGGTGATGTATCAGGACCTCCCCCCCCCCTTCACTAAACCAGACGTAGGCGTGGCCAGAGTTTGATGCATCTGGCCTGCGGGCCGGGAGTTTGACAGCCCTGAACTAATGGATCTTTAAACAAAGGCCGAAAATAAATGTGAATTCATAGTGAATTACTCAATTACTACACATCCATCCTCTTCAAATTGAAAGAGGTTTTATGTATCTCTGTGTGTATTGCTACCTACTTATATAAAAATTTCACCATTACGTGTGAGAGATGTTGGGCTGAAAGTGAAGGACAAGTCCAAAATCACCCACTCAGCTCCATAGTTGAGTGGAGCTGAACTTGAGTTTGCCAGACCAGGGCTACTTACCTTAAAACCGCTACATTATATACTTGCATAAGAACCACATATGCATATAGAAAGGGGGCAAAATGGCTCAGCAGTTAAAGATGCTGGGCTTGTGAGCTGGGAAACTGAAAGCTGGTTTCGAGATCCAAACACCATGCAATGGAGTGAGCTCCAGTTATTTGTTTAGCTTTTGCCAATCTAGCATTTCAAAAGCATGCAAATGTCAGCAGATATTAGGTACCATTTCAGTGGAAAGGTAGCAGCGTTCCTTGTGACTTGGCATATAGTCATGCTGGCCACATGATCACGGAAATGTCTCCAGATAACACAGGTTCCCTCCACTAGAAAAACGGAGATCAGCACTGCCCTGCATAGTTGGATACAACTGGACAAGGGGAAACATTTACATTAATGCATATAGAATAAAAATATTCCATAGCCAAAAATTACTGGAAAATAGTAAAGGCAAGTAGGAAAAACTGAACAAATTTCAGAGTGGGAACCCCTTCTCTAATCCATGGTCACTAAACCCTGAAGCCCAACACTGCCTCCCTTGGTGTTTATTAAAACATTTTATAATTAGCATATTGCAGCCAATGCTAATATCACATTATCTTGCTACTGTCAATAGAATATCTTAAAATCAAAAAGCCAAAAATTGCTTACTATGCCTGTACCAGTATTTTTCAACTTTAATACTCTGGATTTTTAATTCCCAGAATTTCCTAGCTGCGGAATTGGTCCATGGATCTTAATATTGCTAAGGTTGAAAAACACTGATGTATCTAGGCAATTCTTATTATTGTGTACTATTATATATTACTTTTCCTCACAATGGCTAATTATTATTTTTGTTTTTAAGGCGCAGAGCATGGAGAATGATGAATTTCCGTCAGAGGATGGGATGGATTGGTGTGGGACTGTATCTAATAGCAAGTGCTGCAGCATTTTACTATGTCTTCGAAATCAATGAGACTTACAATCGACTAGCACTGGAACACATTCAGCAACCACCAGAGAAATTTAAACAAGAAATCAGCTGGATGCATTCCTTAAAAACACGTCTTCTCTCTGTACCCTTTTGGCTATGGGCCATTATCTTTTTAATACCTTATTTGCAAATGTTCTTATTTCTTTACTCATGTACGAGGGCTGATCCTAAAACAGTGGGCTACTGCATAATTCCTATCTGCTTGGCTGTGGTTTGCAATCGTCATCAAACATTTGCAAAGGCCTCCAATCAAATCAGCAGACTGCAGCTTATTGACACGTAAGGAAATCAATGTGGCTTGCCCTCGCTCCTTCCCCCATGGCTGGTTTTTGATAAGTTGAAGATCGGTTGAATATCTGAAAAGAACTTGAAATTCTTTTTCTCAACATTAACCTCTGGACAGAGCACCCACCAACCTTCTATTTTTTTTAACGATGCTTTTTAACTATGGGAGTAAAAGTTCTTTGAAAACGGGGGGTAACATTCTTCATATTTGCCTTACAAGCAGAATTTCTACACTCCATCTGAAGATTTTAGAGTAAATATATATTTGAAACCCTAATTCACTGTGCATCTTTCAAAACTTCAAGTTTCCTATAAGCAAATTGCTGAAAATTAAATTTGCCTATGTTTATGTGTAAATTTTGAAATTATTATAAAAGTGGCATTTGAGACATTGTCCTTTCTCCTTTGATGATGTTGCACTAAATAAATTGGGATTCCTTTTGCACATGATATGTTTAAAAGAAAATTATCTTTTTATTTGTTCATATATTTTATTTCTGTATTATTTCTTCAAAATGCAAGAACTGCTACTCATGTTTCAAATACAAGCTGATGTTTTAGTACCTGAATCATTGCAAAGACAGTAAAATGCATTTTATACAAAATAACTAGAACCAAATTAAAATCCAGTCTACAGGTATCAGCAGCAATATTCTGAATATTCACTATTTCTGAGAACTCTAATCTCATAGAAATACTTGGGAAGGTTACTTGAATGCAGAAATAGGAAAACAATGGATATTCAGATAATATCTAACTAAAAATTCCATTTCTGATCACTTTGATAAATAGAAATTTGAGCACAACATGGAAAGTTCCCCATTCTGAGTTTTTAATCCTTGCAAATAACATACATTTATACATCAAAACTACTAAGCTATATGTGCTACCTGACTCCCAATTTTGAGAGGTTACAAATAAAATATTAAAAACAAGAAAAATACAACAGTAGACAAAAGGAAAACATCTCCAGGTATGAACAAAAAAGTATGGCAACAGTCAAATAAAACAAATAAAAATCTGAGGCCAGAACTGTAAACCGAGTAAGCATCTCGGGGAAAAAACCACTTTAGTTCTCATGAAGATAGTGGGGAAGTACATTCAGACTTAAGATTCATAACAGCAGTAAACTGCTGTTATGTTTATTATTACTATATTTAAGAGCATCCACTGGGACTTGGGAGTAGAAAGCTGTTTTGGTGATCAGCATAGACAGCAAAATCACTGGAGCCTTTCCAACATTTTAGGATACAGTAAAAGTTCACAATGACAAAAGCAACCCTTTTAATAGTCAAAATAGGACTGTGATGAAGGTATGTATTATAACCACTGTTGTTGAAGGTGATAGGTTGGATAATGGGGAAAAGTCAGAGATACAAGAATATAACATTCAGACTTAAGATTCTGCTACTATAATCTTATAACAAAAGGTGCATTAGCTTGTAGAATCTTGGTTTCCAAGCCTGTGGTTTATCTTGAAGGGCTATAAGTGTCTTGGCAGTCAAATCAAACCAAACCAAACCTTTATTGTCGATGCACATGTGTACAATGGAATGAGCCTCCCTTGGTGCAGCCCCCACCCCAAAACACAGAATACATCTCAGTAACTCAATAAATAAAAGAAATCCCTAAACCCAAATAAGTAATAACTAGCACACATTCCCATATACATATATGTAACATATTACATCGGTATAAATATGTTGCACGTTGCGCTAGCCCTGCAAGTCTATCATATTAAACCTGATTGTGGTGTTATGTTGCATTCAGAAGTCGTAACAGTCCCCGGATAAAAGCTATTTTTCAGCCTATTCGTTCAGATGGCTATGCTTCTATATCTCCTGCCCGATGGTAGGAGAGTAAAGAAGTTCTGACCAGGGTATGAAAAGGATCTTCCTCTCTGCTAAAGCAGTGGGTCCTGGCAATTTCATTGAGTGGGGTCAGCCCATGATTTTCAGTATGTCCCAGTATGCCTACCCTCTTCCTCTGCTCTCTTTCTCTTCCACTTCTGCTCACCCACAGCCTCTAGTTTGGCTTTCCCTTTTCTAACTTGAAAGCATGATGGGATGAAGTATGCTAACCTGGCTTTCTAAGGACCTTGAGGGAAAAAAAACTGGCTAAACTTGCCAGTTGTAGATGTAATGCCCCTCAAATAGCTAGGATTAGCCAACGGAATTTAAGATGTGGATGTCTTTGGATGATGTGCTGGTTAGTTTGTCTCTTCTTGGCAGATTGGAGAGTAACTGAGTGCTTCCCCCTGAGGTTTTTTGGTACAGGCTGGGCTGTAAAACTCCTGGTTTGGGGGGGGGGGTAGCTGAGCCTAGCCTTCTTGGGAGGTGAGGAGGGTATTTCTGCCCGGCAGTCAGTTGCTCCAGTCAAGTATTTTCAGTGTTGCCTTTCCCAAGCAGAAAGGGTACTTTCAACTTTGCTTCCCCCCCCTCCCCTCACTCATACATACAATCTTGTTGAATAATTTCAAATGACAGATACAAAACATTATTAACTACTTTAAATATCCAAGCCTTCAATGTTTTAAAAGATAAATTTTCATAGTATAGGAATTTTAATATTTTTTTTAAAAAAAGTTTTATAGTTTCCATCAGGAGTGTGGTTTTGTCCGTTTTAATGGTGGTTCATCTGAATATGCTTTGGTGTTGATATGCTTTCCTTCTTCTTCCTCATCTTCATCTCCATCTTCTTCATCATCTACAAAAATAATAATCATCACATAGACCCATTTTTTTATTAACAAGTGCCTCCCAAAGTATCATTCTACTTGTGATAAACCCTAAAGTATCATTCCACTTTTGATAAATGTATTTCCATAACCGAATTCAATTTTTCTTTGCTAGATCTAAGTTCAAAATACATGTAGGCAAAAGATTATACAGAGTTGTGGTTCTATACTGTAGAAAGAATTAGATATTTCATTAGGTATAGTTAGCTGATTAGTTGTATTTTTACATTATGTTTGAATGACAATCTGATGCACTCAGCTACTTCCCCAGAATACATCCATACTAATATACACTAGCAACGCAGGGTAACCATTCACGTAACTGAATAGTGAATTGGAATTATCAGTGTTCACCTAGTTACTTTCAGATGAGTAGGAAGTAATCACTTTGAATGTTTTTCTATACAATCTTTCAGAAAATACAGAATAAAATCTGTACTCATCTGCAGTCAGCGTCATCACAGATAGAAATTCAGCCTCCCCAATGTTTTTCTAATTCCCTTTATAGTTGGGCTAATGGGGATGATATAAAAATCACAGAGCGAGTTTTCCCAGAACTGACTTACTCTTGAAGGGCCCATCTAGACTTCTGTACACAGAAGTAAAAATTAACCATTAAAAATCTGTTAAATTCCCTGTTCCTGTTTGAACAGCACAACTGACCAGAGACATTACTGTAGTCCTCAATTTGGTTAAGAATTGACACTGACTTTTCTGACACACTCCTACTTTTGTTCATTATGTCATGGCCTTGTTCCTGTTGAGCCTTAAAAAGTAGTTGATTTTCTCTGATAATTCTGAACGGTCTTTCATGCAGATACTAACTTGATGATATTGTGCTTGTGTTTAAAAAGGCTGAAAAGGCATGTGAAAGATATTGCAGAATCAGCCCTCTGACCGTAGAAGATCCTTGTGAAGATTATCAGAACATACAGTATTTACAGCAGATGAGAGAATTTCCACTTACAAAGAACAATGTGGTTTCAGAGCAAGCCGTGGCTGTGTGTGCCTGATTTTTACCATCAAGCAAGTAAACTGCTGTTATGTTTATCATTACTATATTTAAGAGCATCCACTAGGACTTGGAGTAGAAAGCTGTTTTGGTGATCAGCATAGACAGCAAAATCACCGGAGCCTTTCCAACATTTTAGGATACAGTAAAAGTTCACAATGACAAAAGCAACCCTTTTAATAGTCAAAATAGGACTGTGATGAAGGTATGTATTATAACCACTGTTGTTGAAGGCGATAGGTAGGATAATGGGGAAAAGTCAGAGATACAAGAGTATAACATGAGGCAGATAAGTTGAATTTCAAAGATGCAACGTAAGCCAATGACACTGCTTTCGCAGAGGAATCAGAACAGAAGGCACAGGAACTATTAGATGTCATAAACAAGAGCAGAGAGCTTGGACTACTTAAAAAGACTGACTATATCAACTCATGGCTCAAAAATTAACATGGCCTCAGTGATGTTGGATGAATTGGAAGTGATAAGTCAGCTTTTACCAATAGTGATGTCTTTGAAAAAGGAAAAACATCAGCTGAAAATTAGGTATTCAATGCAGCCACCATGCTACTCAAGCTCTATGCAGTAGAAATGCGGACATAATTTACTCAGCACCTATGGAAATTTCAGATGAAGTATTTTAGGACTATCCTGTATGATTAATAGTGGAATAGGAACATTAGATATGTCAACAGTCTGTAACTGATATGATCTGGAAATCACTCCTTTGTTGATCTGGGCACATCTGGCTGGAAAGTTAACAAAAATGTCGCAGGAAAGACCTGAAAAAGCCAAACAGAGGCTGCAGTATGGTAGTTACAGTCTAATATTAGTATGCTGCATCTACTCTGGACAGAGAGCACTGGAAGGTTATCTGCAGTGACTTCTCAACCATGGCCACCACAGCTCCAGCAGCAATATCCTATAATTAACGGGGATGTCCTGCCAATGCCAGAACACATGAATGAAACTCTATAAAACAGTGCTTCCAACTTCTGTTCTTTGAAAGGAATATACGGTGTTATCAAATGCTGCTGAGAGGTCTGAGTACTGAGAAAGGTGCTCATCCTGGACAAGACAAAAATCAATAACCAAAGCAACAAATACCAGTTTCAAGCAATGGCCAGGCATGTATCCTAAGTGACAGTGATCTAATAAATAATTTTGATCCTTCTTTTGTATCCCACCATTATTTTTACAAACAGTTCAAGATAGCAAATATATCCAACATATTCTTCCTATTTTTCACCACCACTACTACCATGTGAGGCAAGTTGGGCTGAAAGTGACTGGCTCAAAGTCATCTCACTGACTTTCATGGCCATAATTTCTCTATGGTGCTCTGTAAATAACCCCCATGCTCAATACAATTCTTTAAAAAGGGCAGATTGAAAACTGAGTGAAAGTGTAAAAAAAAATGAATTGGTCAAGAGCGGGTTAAGCAAAGGTGCATTACTGCTGTCTTCAAAACAGGTGGCATCACATTCTTTCTCAAAGATACATGACATGATTATCTCATTGCTCCTTCTGAGCATCTCACGTCAATCCAACAAAATAATCACAATCAACATTCATTCTTGGTTTTATGAATGGGCCAATCTCTGTCACTAACCTATGTATTCCTACTTTCATATTCACTCACAACTCAATGACACCAATTTATACTTTCTGACAAATGCTCTAGCCCTTTCATTCATAACTGAACCTACACCTTAATTTCTTTGCATGTACTCAGCAATTCTACTCCATAAGATCAGGCCAATTTCATTCAGCTCCATTACATGCTTCCTCTTTCTTTTAGAAGCACCAGCAGTCAACTTTTTTCTTTTCATTATGTTTTTAATATATGGTCCTTATTTTTCACTCCTTTTACATTCCAATTTGCACTATCTTCCATAGGCCATTTGCATGAACTTTTGGGCCCCCAGTTATTTATATCCTCCATCCATGTTAGAAAGGGCTTTCAGATGACTCTCTTTAGTCTAAAGATAGAAAGATGTGGTATAGGTTAAAGGTAAAGGTTCCCCTCGCACATATGTGCTAGTCGTTCCTGATTCTAGGGGGCAGTGCTAATCTCAGTTTCAAAGCTGAAGAGCCAGAGCTGTCTCCGTAGTCATGTGGTCAGCATGACAAAATGTCGAAGGCGCACAGAACGTTTTTACCTTCCCCACCAAAGGTGGTTTCTATTTTTCTACTTGCATTTTTTACATGCTTTCAAATTGCTAGGTTGGCAGAAGCTGGGACAAGTAACAAGTGCTCACTTCGTTACGCGCCGCTAGGGATTCAAACCGCCAAACTTTCTGATCGACAGCTCAGCGTCTTAGCCACTAGTCACCATGTCCCTGTGGTTACCTAAGTTACCAAGCCTTAATTCCATCCATGCTGCCAAACTCAACCTTCCCTGCTAACACTAAGGGCATAATAGAAAATAGAACAGAGAATAGTAAGAATAGAATAGAAAATAGAATAGAACAGAAAATAATAAGAACATAATAGAAGCTGGAAGGGACCTTGGGAGGTCTTCTAGTCCAGCCCCCTGTTCAAGCAGGAGAACCTCTATCATTTCAGATATGATGGTGGTCAGTTTGGGGACCTTTGGACCAGTATTCCCCAAGCACAATCCAAGCCCAATTTTACCCCTCTTCATCCTCACTCGTAGGACGCAGGATCCCGTCCTGCGTCCTCCCCTGTTTGCGAGCTGAAACAGAGCAATCCAATCTGTCCGCACAGAGGAGGAACGGCCACCATAAATAACATCAAGGGCAAAAGCCACTTTCAGAAACCAGCCCCTCACCTCCACGCTCATCTCTGTCTCCGACGGCAGCGACGCTCTCCTGCTGCACCAGAGGGCCAAGCCGAGCGGTGACTTCCTCTCGCAGCCGAGACAAACCCGCCAGCAGGCCCCGCAGCTCTCCCGGAGGCTCACACCGAACACGCCACGCTCGTTTCAAGCCATCGCGGCCGGTTAGTTCGGCCTGCAACTCCATAGCTCGGTTCCCGGCGCCAACGAGGAACCAATCAGTTTTAGCCTATTCTCCCCCGCCCTCACCTCGACGAAAGGGGCGGCTCTTCCAGTTCTCCTCCCCTAATTCAACGCGCATGCGCCACCCAATCCCGCTCGCTTGTCTCGTTGATATGGTACGCAGAAGCGCCTCCGACCGCGCATTGTCTCCGCCTCCGTCCGCCTTTGCGATTGGCTACCGCCGTTCACGTGCAGGCGGCCCGTTTGTTCTCCCGCCGCGACTTGTTTTTCCGCTTCCGGTATACGCGGAAGCGTCGCCTGTGCGGCGGATTTGCGTTTTCCCGCCTTTTCCTCCTCCGCCTCAGGCGTTTTACGACGGAGCGAGGAAAGAAGCGACTTCAGGGAGATGGAAAGGGCGAGGGCTGATTCTGGCGCTCCAGAAGAGGATGGCGGCAACGACAGCAACACTTCCACAGGCGGCGAAGAGGGCGACAGGAACGCCGAGGAGCCTGTCGTGTCGCTAGCCGAGGTGCTGGCCGAAAGCGAGGAGCTGGAGAACGAAGCGCGCGCCGTGCTGGGCGGGAGCGACCACGAGCGCTGCAGTTACTCTCAGGTGAGAGACGAGGGCGGGCCTGGCTGAGCCCGGCTGGGTGGAAGGACTGCTTCTCCAAGCCGCTTCAGAAAGCTTCCTCAACCTCTGGCCTTCAGTTATAGAATAGAATAGAATTCTTTATTGGCCAAGTGTAATTGGACACACAAGGAATTTGTCTTTGGTCCATATGCTCTCTGTACATAAAAAGACAAGATACATTCGTCAAGAATCATAAGGTACAACACTTAATGATAGTCATAGGATACAAATATGCAATCGGGAAACAATAGCAATATAAATTGTAAGGATACAAGCAAAAAAGTTACAGTCATGAAGTCGTAAGTGAGAGGAGATGGGTTTGTTTGTTGTTTGTTTATTGGATTTATATAGGTGATAAGAACAGAGAGGAGACTAATAGTAATAGTCATGCAGCCTTAGTGAATAGTATGACAGTGATGAGGGAATTATTTGTTTAGCAGAATGATGGTGTTCAGGGGAAAAAACTGTTGTGTCTAGTTGTCTTGATGTGCATGTTGGACTTACTTTTTGTGTCAGACTTACTCCCCCCATCCCGCCCCCCATTCAGCTCTGTCAGATTATTGAAGATTGCCTGGACAAGTCCCTGCATATATATGGGTAGCCCTCAACTTAGAACAGTTCATTTAGTGACCGTTCACAGTTACAACGGCACTGAAAAAAGTGACATATGACCATTTTCACGCTTATGACCATTGCAGCACCCCCCCATGGTCACATGATTTACATTTGGAGTCTTGACAACTGATTCACATTTATGACGGTTGCAGTATCCTGTGATCATGGCCTTTTGGGACCTTCTGACAGGCAAAGTCAATGGGAAACCAGATTCACTTTAACAGCTGTGTTACTAATTTTAACAACTGTGGTGTTTCACTTAAGTGTGCTGAGAAAAGTCGTAAAATGGGACAAACTCACTTAAATGTTTCACTAAGCAACATCAATTTTGGGCTGAATTGTGGTCGTACCTCGAGGACTATCTGTATTGCCATCGCTTTTGAGAATTGCGAAATTTAGGGAGTGGTTTACCATTGCCTCTTTTTTTAGGTCAATAACTAGCCCAAAGTCACCCAGCTGGCTGGCGCTTAAGGCAAGATTAGAATTCATAGCCTTCCAATTTCTAACCTTAACACTATACAAAATTGGCTCTTTAAAGCTGACATCAACTAAGAAGATCTTGTCACTTTTTTGATCCGTAGGTTTCGATTTTTTGTATAGCTCCTTAGCAATAAGAATAGAAGCAGTATTATCTCTGTCAGATAAACAATTTCCATGGTATTATTACTTGCTGTTTATCTACTTGTGTAAATGGAAATTAGTTGTAATCACTTATTCCTTGTTGAATTAGGTGTAAGGTAAATATCATGACCTATGTTTTAGGATGTGGTTACTTAAGGATTCTGTTAAACTTCCAGTAAGAATAAAACTATTTAACTTCTAGGATTCAGGTTTGTTGTCTTAAAATTTCTCTGCAAAGCAAAATCGTAACATGTACTTTCCCTAACTATTTTATTATTTTGCTCTTGTCTTTCCAGGGTGCTGTAAAGAGGCAGGCATTGTATGCCTGCAGTACATGTACACCAGCAGGTGAAGAACCAGCAGGGATTTGTTTAGCATGCAGCTATGAATGCCATGGCTCTCACAAGTTATTCGAGTTATATACAAAAAGGTAAGCCAAGAGAAAATAAATTCATTTTTAGGCCAGTTTATCAGTCTTCAGCAATTTAAACTGGTTCTCGACTTATAACCATAGTTGGGACTGGAACTTTGATCACTAAACGATGTGGTCATTATGTGAAACATTACACGACTACACTGTTTAGTGATGGCAGTTCCATTAGACCAAGTAACATTTGTTAGGCTAGGATAGTACTATGGTTAGATGAGGATCTCACACTTCTGCCCTGCAACACTCACTTCACTTCAACTCGCCTCATCATTCTCCTGTTTTGGGTGCCTCACACTCCATTTCATAGCTTTGATGCCACCATGGCCTACAAGTGACCATTGCTATCTTTCTTCTGTTGGTGGCCAGGTGCTGGGTGAAAGTACAGCCTGGGATGCATACAGTGGGGGAAGGAAGAGGTGGTGGCAGTTCCCTGGGCAAAGGTGCATGCTGTATGGGGTGTGCTGTTTGGATCAGAGGAAGGAGGAGAGACACATGCTTCAGAAAGACACAGCAAACATTCTGCAGCTTGTGTTGCAAATGCTCCTTGAAAATGGGTCTGCAGGCTTTAGCAAGAGATATAAGAAAACCTAGTGCTTACCCACAGGCTGTTTGTTTGCTCTTGATCCAACTTTCTTCCTCAAAAGTCGACTAAATTCAGAGGACAGGGCGAATGCTCTATCTGGGAGTCAGGCATGCTGAATGCTTCAACCAATCAGAAGGTGAATAGTACATGATGCCAGCCAATCATGGAGAAGTGCCTGAAAACTGTCCTGTTTAAACTGACTTGTTTATCTCTATGAGAGCAACCAGTCAGTAAGCATTTGAGTTAGGCAGAGAAGAAAACAATATATTCCCAACACAAAATTTCTGCATCAGCCTTGCATTCTCTGTTGTGTTTTGTATCTTTTCTTGTTTTCCTGCTTGTAAATGTTGAGTCTTTTCTTTGCAGATATTGACTAGGAAAAATTAGTCCCCCTCACGTGTGTGTGGCAAAGGCAGTGCTAGGAGCCATAAGGAAGATGGGGCACAAGCTTTTAAGCCTTGATTGAGGCATATAAAAGGACCCTAAATGTTTGGTATCCCAGCACCCACAAAAATACCTATACTGCTACATCAGTAGGCCTGGGATATCTAAGCAACCCAGTTCCTTTTCTGTGGCGTCCAGAGCCATCAGCCCTTCAGTAGCCCTAGTAGTAGTAGATTGTGAGCCACAAGTATTGCCAGCCAAGGCAGTATAGCATTTGCTCTGAGCCAGAATGTATGGGTGGGTTCTATTGGAACAATCTTCAGCGCATGTGGCAGGGGAAGTGCTAGTGGTCATGTGGTGAGAAAGGCGTGGCTGGTTTGTGGTTCTGGGGCCCATCTGCTTCCACCATTCTGGAGGGCTTATGTTCCCAGGCACCATGCAAGAGGTCCCTTGCAACTTAGATATCCTAGTTCCCACAAAGATGCCCACATACTACCATATGCACTGGGTGCTAGGATTTGTAGACAGTGAGGCTCTTCTTGTATGCCTCAATCAAGGCTTAAAAGCCAGCAGCTGTGCCCCATCTTCCTTGTAGCCTTTGCCACATGCACAGAGGGATTCCTTCATTTTTCCTTTTTGGTATTTGCGAATAGGGAAAAAGAAAGGATACAAAACACAGAGTGCAGGAAATACATGGTGGAGTGCAAGGCACCCAAAAGGGCAGAGATGGAGGAAAAATAAGTGGGAGTGAATTTTGATCATGTGGCCTTGGGGATGCTGCAACAAATGGTTGTTAATCGACGATTCTCTAACTCAATAGAATACAATTGCTTTTTTAAACAGAAGACAAAACATACCTTTGTGACACTTTATTAGAAAGAGATTTATTGGACTCAAAATATTATTACATCAGAGTATTTTAAAAGTGATATGGTTGAGTAAATAAATTTAATTTTCGAGTGCCTAATTTCAAGCTAGGGAAGAGTAGACTACACTTCACTACAAAATATAACCACAATATATAGTTCTCTGGGTTAAAGAGTTGTTTTGAAAACTTTATGATGTATTTAGGACTATAACTGAAATTAGTTGTGAAAATACTTATATAAACACTTATTTTGGTTTGAAAAAAATGGACTGAATATAATTTGATAATTATAATTTAATAATTTTTGAAGATGTTTTCCATCCCATATGAATATAGTTTGTAAATGGCTTGCTTTAAGTGTAGGAAAGTCATGACACAAGCATCTTTCAGAATTTTCCCTTTCCTCCCCAGAAACTTTCGCTGTGATTGTGGAAACAGCAAGTTCAAAAATCTGAAATGCAAACTACACCCTGTAAGTATAAATATTAAGTTTACATTTGAGAGAAAAGTGGTAGCTAAAATTATTTATATGGTTTCAATTTGAAATTATGAAAAGTTTTGTGTAATGAAAGTCCAGTTGGAGGCTGCAAGAGAAATCTAAGCAGCTGGAATTACTGCCAAAACAAGAGCATAGAGATGACCTTTTCATAGTCCCTCATGCTTTACTCACTTCGCAAATAGACTATACATGGGACTGCCCTTGAAGCTACAGTTAGTCTAGAATGCAGCAAATGAGTAATTATATGCAGGCTTTATTCATTCATACAACAGCCACTTCAAGATCTGCACTGCTTGTCACTTGATTTCTGGGACTTGGGACATCTTACTCCCTTAATCTCTGCTGGCCCACTTAAAACAGGAAAAAATGGGCTCCTTCCAGATTCCCTCTTTCAAAAAATCTATAGGATTCTCAGAAGCAGACTTTTTTTCTTTCTCTCTGGAATAGATCCTCTAGAGAATTGCCTTGCCTTATGTCAGAGTATGCACATGTCTGTCACGTGTATCAACCCAGGAGTAAGTACAGTCAACAGTGGTTTGTATCAAATAGTGGTTTTTAATCTACAATACGAATATAGGAATACTATACATACACATGCTACAAGCAGTATCTAAACAAACAGCAATTACAGCAGGGAAAAACGCAATGAATCAACCAACACTCCAGCAGGACCACCTCTTATTACACAAGCTCTTAAAGGGATAACAACCAAAGACCCTGCTGACTCATTCCCCTCATTGCATCAACTGGTCAGCTCTTAAATTATTGCCTTGACACCTTATATTACTGGACGTCAATAGAATCCTGGTTATTTCAACAGGCCTTTAGGGGGAGTTGGTTTCAGGATTCTTCCTACGTAATAGTATAAATTATATGGGTTTATGAGTCAACTGCATAGGAATAATTCCTTATGTAATATTTATTGTTTGGCCCCTTGCTTCGTTGTTTAAACATGTTAATGTGTGGTAGAATTGTAAGCTACTCAATCAAATGACAATTTCAGCAGTATATCAGCCTAGTAAAATAGCAAATGAAAGCAAATTCAAAAAGTTGCTGCATGTTCTTCTTAATACATATTACAGTTGACTTTGGGCCAGTCATCTCTCTCAGCCCAACCCATCTCAGGGTTATTATTGTGGAGAAAATAAGAAGAGGAAAGTATGTTGTATATATTCTCCACCTTGAGTTAGTTATAAAAATAGTAAAGGTAGGAGCGCCTGCTAACTTTAGTTGGAAGATCTAATTTTATTTTATGCAGTATTCGAATCTGACTTCATCAAGGACAGTTGATAAGCATTATTGCCTTTTTCTGTGATTATTGAAGTAGGATGCACAGAGTAAATAAAGTGCTTTTTATATAATTAATTTCTTTTTGATTTATCTTCTATTTAAGGTATTGTCTTGCTTTTTTTTTTTTAAGGAAAAGGCAACAGTGAATCCAGGAAATAAATATAATGATAATTTCTATGGATTATATTGTATTTGTAAAAGACCTTACCCAGACCCTGATGATGAGGTAAATTATATTGTAGTGATATATAAAAGATGCAAATGCAGTTCATAAAATGTAATAAATTTATCACCTTTTCTTTTTTCAAGTGAAAAACCAGGAATTTTTCATGTACAATTGAAAAATAAAAGAAGACCACTATTGTTTTATGCTTTGGATATTAGAAATAAGTCATTCTTAGACAAATTAGATCCAGGAGGCTATCTTATCTTTAAATATACTTCCTGTTCTGAGCCTTTAATAAAAAAAAGACCGATATTATCTCTCAGAAATTTTATTTTCATTAAATTGATCACACAGTAGTTTGAATATCTGTTATGTGTACTTTGTCCCAGGAATATTGAATAAGCTACATGTGATATAGAAATGTATATCTTTTTCCCAATGTGTATAACTCTGAAAAATTATTTTAAAAATTTAGAGCTGTTCTAAATACATTTCAGAACAATATAAATGCAAGTATCTACAAGGTTAGAAAGAAATAGTCATTAGAGATTTTTTGTCTGGTGAGTTGGGCTTACTGCTCATTCACTATTTCAGTGTTCAATGTTAAAAGTGGAATGAATATTGTTCAATGACATGAAACTTTAATGACATGAAACTTTAAACAAACCCTTTTGAACTGGATGTAGCAATGTGTTGACAGTATAGATCAAGGGGTCCCAATCTTTTCTATGCCCCATACCTCTAGAATGCTTCTGGTATATTCTCACACCCCTTAAAAATAATTATATGCATATAACTATACATATACACTATAATTTTGAAACTTCTAAACCCATGTTTTCACACCCTGGAATATCGTCTCTTATCCCCAGTTGGGAACCCCTGGTATAGATAATTATATATGAGAATGTCAACTCAAGCTAAACAGATAGTAGCAGTACATGTTCTCTGTAATTTCAAAGACCCCTTTCTGAAGAGTTGAAGTAATAGTACATTTTGTAATATAGTACTATGACTCTATCTTTAGATTCCAGATGAAATGATCCAGTGCATAGTTTGTGAAGATTGGTTTCATGGAAGGGTAAGTAAATGTAACTTGCAAAAACAGCTTTTTATTACAGCCAAATCTTTCAGAGAATAGTTGCATCGATCTTTAAATAAGTGAATTCAGAATTTCAAACCCATAAAAAGTGTCCTTATATTTGCGTTAAAAACAATTTTGGTGCTGAAATTATGTTTGAGAAACATTTTAATACTGTGTTTCCCCGAAAACAAGTCAGATCTTATTTTCTTTTGTCCCAGAAATATGGCCTTGGGCTTATATAGGGGGAGGGCTTATTATTTTCTGGGGCAGATGAGAAGCGAGGCGCTCCTTTTACCTTTCCATTTCTGTTGCATTCCTCGCCATTGTGTTCTGGGAAGCCACTGGTAAAAAAAAACCCTTCTCACAAGTTCAATCAAACTTCTTGAAGTTGTGAGAAGGTTTTTTTTTACCAGGGGCTTCCCTGGACACAATGGCAAGGAACGCAACGGACCTGGAAAGGTAAGAGACGCGCCTCGTGGCCCAACACCGCCCACCTCGCCCAATGATAAAGGCAGCCTGCCTGGTTCCCTTCCCCACCGTCCCTTTAGCCAGGGGTGGCAGGTGGTAGGGGGAGAAGTGACGTGCGCCTCTTACTTTTCCAGGTCCATTGCGTTCCTCGCACTTTCGTCCAATGAATCCCTGTGTAAAAAAAAACCTCGAGTTCAGCTCATGAGGTTTTTTTACAAGGGGCTTCAATGGACGAAAGGGCGAGGAACATAGTGGAGCTGTCAGTCTCTGGTAGCGCTAGGACACGCATGTCGCTTCTCCCCCACCCACCTGCCACTCCTCGCTAAAGGGACGGCAGGGAAGGAAACCAGGCAGGCTGCCTTTACCATTGGGGCGAAGTGGGCAGTGGCCACGAGGCGTACCTCTTACCTTTCCAGGTCCGTTGCGTTCCTTGCCCTTTCATCCAGTGGAGCCTCTTGTAAAAAAAACCTTGCGAGCTGAACTCATGAGGTTGCACGAGAAAGAACAGATGGGAGGAGGTGATCACATTGCTGACCTGCTGCTCTTTTTGCGGTGGGCTCTTTTTGCGCAGAAGGGAAGGGTAGGGGGGTGGAAGCACTTTGCTTTGCCTGCTGCTGTTTTTGCGGCGGGCCCTCTTTTTGCCCCACAAGCTGTACCAGTAGGTGATACAGTGGTAATGGCAGGGACCGTTTGTGCATGCACTTAAATAGTTGGGGATGGGCTTATTTTCGGGGGAGGGCTTATTATGATGCATGCTTTGAAAAGCCCGATTGGGCTTATTAGCAGGGCATGTCTTATTTTCGGGGAAACACGGTAATATGAACTACAGTCTTTTCAAAGAATGATAACTTTGAAAATAAAGCTAATCTTTCAGCAAGTGTCTATAGTTCATGCCATATACACTGCATATGTATACTATAGAAATTCATGAGGAAAAACATAAGCTCTAATTCTGTGATTCATTGTTCTAATTTTAATGAAGAGTCCTGCTGTTTGTCAGTAATACACAATCATTCTGCATTTCCATTTGCTTTTCCCCAGCATCTTGGTGTTGTCCCTCCAGATAGTGGGGATTTTCATGAAATGGTATGTCAGTCTTGCATGGATCACTGCCCTTTCTTGTGGGCATATGCCTCGCGGTTAGCAGGTAAGGAAAAATAAAAGTTGTTGTTGAGCTAATGTTTAATCCTGACCAAGTATCACGATTCAGTGAAATTGAAGCTTTTTAATTAGATGCATTAATTTAATTGGCATGAGTGAAATATGTATTCATCTTGTTGTATTTTATTAATTTAATGCATTGCTTGGGATTAAATATCAAGTTTTTTATGATATGCAATCTAAAATTTTAATACTAAACGTGCCTGCATGGAAAAGAATTCTGTCCTGAAAGTTAAATCTGACCTATTGTTATTACTCAGCTGCTTACTGAGGGTTGAAATGTGGCAAATTCCAAGAAACTGTATTCATCTGGCAAATATTTTGCTTAAACTCTACTTTATATTCTGTAAAAAAAAATTTTTTTTAATTTTTAGTTTATGGTTAGGGAGAAACAATCTTGTAAGAAGTATTCTTATCTAATGGTATCTACAGTCATATGAAAAAGAAAGTGCACCCTCTGAGTTCTATGGTTACATATCAGGTCATAGTAAAAATCATCTGCCCTTAGCAGTTCTTAAAAGTAGGTAAATACAGCCTCAGATGAACAATAACACATTGTATGTTACATCATGTCATTTGTTTCACAAAGAGAAAGCCAAAATGCAGACGCCATGTGTAAAACACTAAGTATGCCATACAATTCAACAGCTTAGTTAGCTGTAGCAGCAATAACTTGAAGTAATTGTTTTCTGAATGTGTACTTTCTTTTTCACATAACTGTATGTGAGTACATTTCTTACTTGAGCAACGTTTGTGTAACTCATGATTGGATTATTGGAAGAAAATAAAGATAAGCATTTGTGCTTCTCTAGTGTGGTCCAGCCATGGTGATTGTGTATAAAATATGTGCAGATAGTCCCCAGTCTTTATAATTCAGCAAAATATATATATATTACTTAAGGGTTAGGGTTAGGAATACTTTTTTCCAAGGCCCTGTGATATTAGATCACAGCTGTGATAGATTTTACTGATTTCTGATGGTTCTGAATATAGTCACCTAGTATCATGTTGTAAAATATTAGGTACAGGCTTATTAAATGATACATTTAAATTTTTATTCAAAAATTACATTTAAAGTTAATCAGCTGTGTTTTGACAATTTTGATGTTAGAATTTGATGTTAGAATTGCAGGAGAACGACTTGGAAACTTAGCTTAAATATTATGCCTGCATAAAACACTAGAAGGTGAAGAGGTGAGGTAGTTGTCCAATACAGTAGCTTAATTGTCATGGTGGGGGGGGGGAATTATATTCTATTGAGAAATTGGACACTATTATTAAAATAAAAGCATGAAAAAATCAGATGCAATTTAACGAAATACCAGTTTCATTATTTTTTTCAAAATGTCAGTGATGATAATATGGATACTTGAGGACATAGCATTGAACTAATGCTATATATATATTTATATGGAATATAAAATTTTATATAACTAAATTTGTCCTGCCACCATGACATACTTTTCTTACTTGTAACTTTCACAGACAATTTTTTCACAAAAGCATTGAAATTCTGTGTATTTTCTCTATTAGGAGCAGGGCATAAAATATAGCAATACTGAAAAGTTTGTGAACTCTCTTGATTTTTTAATATTTTTGCATAAATATAACCAAAATAATATAAATTTAACCAATGTGAAAGTTATTGCTGCAGTTGATATGGATTGTGTTGCACAAGTCCTAATGCTAGATAAGGGGGACCCAATTAAACAAGTTCTAGTTCATTGATTTATTGAGAAAAATGATCAAAAACTATATTTGGATATTCAAATATTTGGATATACAATATTGAAAATTCAAAAGATTTTGCAAACTTTTATACATCTCTGTATGTTCAGTAGCCTACACTTCATTAAGAGTTATGGATTATTATTTGTAATTGCAATACTTTTATTAAAATATCTTTTTGGAGATAGAATATAAATGATCATGTTATGTGACATGTTTCCTTTTTAGCAAGATTAGTTTGATTGTTTACATTGATATTTAATTATGCAAAATTATTTTAGCTAATTGAGGTAGAAATAGCATTTACTATACTCATTCTAAAAGGTCTAGGTGTCTATTTCTTGTAGTTCCAACTGTGACCAAAGTTATTGCTGCAGCTGATGATGGAACTGTGTTGAATGTTGAAGAAACTGAAGTAATCAAAAATGAAAACAATGTAGATCAAATGAAGACTGAGGATAAAATAATACAAATTAATGAACCGTCTACCAGTTCTGGCAATAAATGTTCAGTGGTAAGACCTGTGTTTCTTGTTTTACACCATATTATTAAAAGCTATAATTCTGGGCTCATGATATTCCTGGCTACATCATTGCCATAATATGTATTGAGTCATGTAGTCTACTCTAATTTATGAGAGTTTGTTGTAGTAGTTAAGGCCCTGGACTAGAAACCGAGAGATCATGAATTCTAATCTTGCCTTAGGCATGAAGCCAGCTGAGTGACTTTGGGCCAGTCTTTCAGCCCTAGGAAGCAGGCAGTGGCAAATGACTGCTGGAAATCTTGCCAAGGAAACTGCAAGGACTAATTCAGTCAGTTACCAAGAGGCAAGACTGACTTGAAGGCATCCGCCACCCCCCAAAAGTAATTTACAGAAACCCGTGATGCTGCCTCAGAAGAATAGAACTATAGCATTTAGGTTTATAAATCTCACCCCATACATTATTATCTTTTTTTTTCATGGTTTTAACTCAAAACTATGAGAAGGTTTCTGTTAAGCGTAGTTAGCTGAATACATTTACAAACTCTTCTGATGTGGAATATGCCTTTCTGAAATTAGTTATATCAATGTGAAAGTGAAGAACTGCATACTACTATACTGTAAACAGTAAATCTGGAGGACTAAGCAAAATGGAATGAGCAAAGAATAAGGAAACTAAATAACATTGGTAACATATTTTATTGCAGCCAGTTAAGAAGGAAATACCAGTGTGCAAGCTGCAAGAACTTCAAGCCAAGCAGAACCTGAAGCAAAATACATCCACCTTCTGGCCACACAACTGGAGAAGCAAATTGTGCACCTGCAAAGAATGTGTGGTATGCATTTTTAAATTGCCCTATCTGTTGTGGCCCAGCAGGATCCGGTTGAGCTGCTGATGGACTTGGATAGTGAGGAACCATATAAGTTTGCCATGGAAGATGTGGAGGACCCTGGGCAGGGTTCAGGCTCAGAGCAGGGACCAGAAAGGCTGGTTGGCCACCAGGAGGCGCCTGAGGCATGGAGCATTGGGGAGATCAAAGGCAGTTTGTCCCTGATGCTAGATTACGAAATTACGATTGCTGAGAAACGGAAGTAGCAACTCCGTAGGCTGTCTCATAGACGATAATTATGCACAGGTGGTTGTGCCTGGGCCCCTCCCAAGAGGGTTTATAAGTGAGGCGTTGGGAGGGGACATTTACAGGAAACAACCGTTCGAACTAGTATTGAAGAAATCTGTATTCTAGCCATGTCTTGTGGAATTATCTGTGTTGCTTTCTTGGAGCTTCTGGCTTGCTGCCAACCTATTATCTTGAACATGAGTTTGCCTGGGCCTTCAGCCAAAGGATTTGTTATCGCATTCATTAAATAGTGGCAAACAGCCAAGCCCGTGTTTTGGTTTAATCACAGGCCGGGGGTGGTGGTGTCAGAACACCTATCTATGTGTTCTAGAAGAATCTATAGTTCCTTTCTGAAACAATTGCACATTGCTCTGTGTTGATGTAGTTGAATTTATTTTTTCAACACTTAAATAACAATAACACTTAGACTTATATACCATTTCACAGTGCTTACAGCACTCTCTAAGCACTCTCTGAGCTAGCATATTGCTTCCAACAATCTGGGTCCTCATTTTACCGATCTCTGAAGAATGTAGGACTGAGTCAACCTTGAGCTGGTGAGAATCGAACTACTGGCAGGTGGCAGAAATAGCCTGAAATACGTCATTGTAACCACTGTGCTATCACATCTCCTGGTGGGACTGCTCTTTCATTTTTCCCCTAGGGGAGCTGTTTCTACTTGAGAAGGAGAGGCTATGTTTATAATTTTGTCTACCATTTTTAAAAGATTTTTTTAAATGCCACCTTTATTTTTTATAAATAACTCAAAGTGGCAAACATACCTAATCCTCTTTCTTCCTCCTATTTTCCCTGCAAGAACAAACCTGTGGGCTGGGCTTGAGAGAGAGTGACTGTTCCAAGTCACCCAGCTAGCTTTTATGCCTAAACTAGAACTCACTATCCTGTTTTCTAGGTCAGCACCTTAACACTAGATCAAACTGGCTCTGAGTTTTCTTCTTTTTTGGAAGATAAAAAAAAAAGTGGCAGCAAAAATTGAGACAATGTAAAATATTTTACACTCCGTAGGGTATTTCTTTATAATTAATATATTAGAAAAATATGAGTGTTTGCATTTTGTACTGTTATTTGAAAATCTACAGAGAGATTTGTCCCTATAAAATTTTATGAAAAAGCGGGGGGGGGGGGAATATTGTGTGTAGGGATTTTTGACAATTCATACCTTTATTGTAGAGCCACAATTGTATGTTTCTCCATTCATAAGCTTGGAGTTGTTTTGAATTGCTTAGGTTCCTTTGTCACAAAGCTATTTTCTTCCCATCTCACTTCATTTTTACACTATTTTTAAAGACATTTATATGCTCTCGTGTGCAATTACTACTTTTTAAAGAAATGAATTTGAAAGTAGTTTGCTTCTATTTTGGATTCATAAAATATTTTATAGATACACATGTACAGTGAAAATAATTTCTTACTCTTCAGAAAATGTATTCTGATATGGGAGTCCCATTCCTAACAGATGAATGTGATACTGTCTTGGCTTATGAAAATAAAGGGACAAATGACCAAGAAGCAGATAGAAGAGATCCTCTAATGGACACACTTAACAGTATGAACAGAGTACAGCAGGTAGAACTCATCTGTGGTAAGTAATTAAAATAAAAGAGAATTACCGTAGTTTTTGGAATATAGGATGCACCAGAGTATAAGACACAGCAAGTTTCTGAAGAGGAAGCTAAAAAAAAAAGTTTTTGCACTCTGCAAACCTCCCAAAAATGGCCCATTTTTTGCAAAACAGGCCATGTTGTTTTTTTTCCAAAAAGGGCATGAATAGCCCTTAGGTGGTTTGTAGACGGGGGGGGGGAGGGGGGGCAAAAACAAGCAAAAAAATGGCCCGTTTTTTGTCACAAAAAGGGCATGGATAGCCTTTAGGAAGCTTACAGAATGCTGCTGGGGGGGCAAAAAACAGGCCGTTTTTCGCTCATTTCTGCCTTCCCCAACCCCCAGGAGCTTTCTGAAAGCCTCCTACAAGCTAAGCACGGCAGAGTTTCAGGGGGCAAAAAATGTTGTATTCAGTGTATAAGACGCACCTAGATTTTCAGCCTTTTTTTTGAGTGAAAAAAGTGTGTCTTATACTCCGAAAAATATGGTAGTCTGAAAAGCATCTCACTTTTTGTATGAAAATAGAATTGGGAGAGAGGGCTTTTTCAATTGATGCCCTAAAATTTTTTTATTAATTTGGAGGCTGGAAAAAATCAGCCCACAAAAATCTCATACAGTATTGTTTATAATAGTTAACTAAGTTAGAATGTTGGCTTAGATTTATTGAGTCAGAAGAAAATTCCATTGACTTTACTGAGTCTTTCGCTTGAGTAAGAATTTATAGGATTGTCCCTGTAGGATACTGTCAGCAGCAATCTATCATAAATGTCTAAATTAGATAAGCTAAGTCCTTGAGCAATAAGGAGTATGGATATTTTTAAATTATTTATAAACCAATAACCTGGGCTTATATTTTGACACATATAATATATATGTGGCACATATAATATATTTTAAATATACAAAATATAGGGAGATAGAGGGGCAGTATAAAATAGCTCAGTGGCTAAGATGCTGAGCTTGTCGATCAGAATGTCGGCAGTTCAGCGGTTTGAATCCCTAGGACCACAACGGAGTGAGCTCCCGTTACTTGTCCCATCTTCTGCCAACCTAGCAGTTTGAAAGCATATAAAAATGCAAGTAGAAAAATAGGAACCACCTTTGGTGGGAAGGTAACAGTGTTCCATGCGCCTTCGGTGTTTAGTCATACCAGCCACATGACTATAGAGACATCTTCAGCTGGCTCTTCAGCTTTGAAACAGAGATGAGCACCACCCCCTAGAGTCGGGAATGACTAGCACATATGTGCGAGGGGAACCTTTACCTATAAATGTAGTATAGTTTAAACAGTACTGGGGGGGACGGGATATCTTTGAAGCTGATTGACAAGCTGCAAAGGATAAAAAAACCTAATATAAATACACGGCTACAATAAAATCATTTTTTATTTGGTTCAGAGTACAATGATTTGAAAACAGAATTGACAGACTATTTGAGAAGATTTGCAAATGAAGGAACAGTAAGTATATACCATCTGACACTATTATGAAAATATTATTTGAATAATTTAAAAATAAAGCATAAATAAAGTACCTGTGCCACTTTGACAAGACTGCATATGGATTTTCAGTTGTATAAGATAGATAACACCATTAGGGCTGTTTTTCATACTGACATCCCCATATAATTTATATTAATACTGATCACCTGGAACATGCGAATCTTAAGCTCTTTAAATAAACTGTTTCTCCAGCGCTTTCCCCACTTTTCCTCCTTAAGAGCCAAGCAGGGATGTACTACCAGTAATCTAGAGCATGGATAAGATGTATCCCAGGGTAGGCAAAAAGATTAAATTTCCAACTCAATAACTTCAATAAAGATTTCTATAGGGAAAAATAAAAATGGTCACTTGCTAATTAAAATAATACAGAAACATAGTTTCTTAAAGAGTAATTCCATAACTCCACAGCACCTTCTGGTCTTCACTCTCTGCCAACTGCTTGAAGCCAAAGCTTATTGAGCAGTTCCAGGACCTTGGAGTAGCTTCCAAGGTGGGAAATTCAAGCTGACCAATCAGATTTTGGATGACCATGACCAAATTGCCCAGTTTTAGTAATTTTCTACAATATAATGTTTGGAATAATGCTGTTATTAATCAGATTGATGATAGTTTGGTCTGAATATGCCTAGCTGTTTCCTTTGTTAAAGCTGTGGTCTGAAAATGGGGAAGATAAGCTTGAACTTCTCTCAACTAGCCATAGATAATTATGAAAGTATACAACAGGGGTCCTCAAAGTACGGCTCATGAGCCATATACGGCCCACCGAAGCCATTAATCCAACCCTCACAGGACCACGAGGCTGCCCTTCCCACATTGCCCTGCCCACACTTCGGCCCCCACACTTCGGCCAAGTGCAGGACTTACCTTCACAAGCCCCACAGGCTGGAACTGGAAGATAAGATCAACATTTTTGGCCTGCAGAATGCTTCCGGAGGCGGAGGAAGTGAAAAACAGGGTGGAAAAACGTCAGCACGCCCTGTTTTTCACCTCCTCCACCTCCAGACGATAATGAGTGAGTACTGGAAGTTTGACAAGTTTCTCCATTCCTATGATTCTTCTAGGGCTTTAAAATTTTGGTATCACACATGTGAATATTTATTATTTTGGTTAGATTGGTGCATTTGACTAAACTGCATTCTTAAACATCTAAATATAATTATGCAAAGATCAGTGAAATGTTTTATAATTCAACATAGATACTACCATCCTGTTTTTGTTTTCTTTTTATTAACAGGTTGTTAAACGAGAGGACATTCAGCAATTTTTTGAAGAATTTCAGTCCCGAAAGAGGAGGAGGGTAGATCAGATGCAGTACTACTGCAGCTAGACTAGATTGGAAGTCTTAAAAGACTACATCTACAGCTGTCTCTGCTAAATTCTGGGGTTTCTGTCCCAATTTAAATCTAGCTTCTTGTTCATCTTGATTTGTATCCTAGAAGGCTGAGTTTATTATTTGCAGCCGCATACATACACCAATTTTCTAGTAACTATGCTGAGAAGTGAAATGATCATGGATTCACTTGTGTCAAAGGAAGGGCTGGTTAGTTTTCAGAAGATACCTACTTAGAAACTATACTGATTGCCTCTGAAGATAATATGGGTGACAACAATCTTTTTTATGACTTAAAAGAAAAACCTAGATAAAGGTCTTAATGAATTAGCATTCAGGTTCAGGGTCAAGGTACTTGTTTCTTAAAGACTTATTTAAATACAAGATTTCATATCCGCTTGGTTTTAGGACATTCATTATGGTATATTCTGCTAGTTGTTGCTGTTAAAAAGCCAATTTGGATCTTTATATGGCTTGCTGAATTTAGTTGAAGTACAACTTTTAGCTAAAATTAGACATTCATTATTGTTGAATGAATATGACTGAGGCCAGTGTGTGTATTATAAACAGCTGTTAACTGGTAGGCAATGATAGTGCAGAGGTTTAGTGATATTACCAATATGTTTTAATTGATTGCCAGCACAGAATGTATAAATTGGTTTTTGGTCATAATTATCAGGTTAATCTATTGACTTTTTAAGACTGACATAATGTAATTGCAACTGAAACTGACATAATGTAATTGCAAATGTTTGGAAGAGCAGCCTACAAACCTATTTACCAAACTGTAAAATATGGCTGTGATCTTTTGTAATTATGTTAGAGAATACAAATCCTTAATACTGAAAAGAATGTTTAAAACATCATTTAAGAACATCTATTTTTTATTGGTTATATTTAATACCTAACTACTAGAAATTCACAGCAATCATGCTGTATTACCAATACTTCAATAAAATGGTATTTTAATTTAAAAGTTGATGAGTGTTGTAAAGGCTAGTTCTAAACATTTAAACCTGAAAGCACATTATGCATTTACTCATCTAGTAGGATGTCCATTCCCCCCCCTCCATTCCCCCATCACAGAAAATGTTGGCTGTTCATGGGCTATGATTTTTCTCCTTATATTTTAAATTAATTAAGAGTCACTGCTATAGCCATAAGATGTGGTTCTCTTGAGTGCTGTGTGGCTTTATATTGCTGTTAGAATGGTATGAAAAATAACCAACAGTGCATTAGAAATAATAAGCAATTGTCTTACATAATTAGATAATTTTTTTAAAGAATGAATGATGCAGTTTGGTAAGTATGCATTGAAGAAGCGTTAGCAGGCAGTGTGTTTCAATTTCAGCAATCTTTGTTGACATAAGGAGAGCCCCCCAAATATTGCCAAGCTGAAATTTGCTACGTGTTTTTACTCCTGACAAATATAATAGGACAGAAGGAAATGAAAATCTATCCCTGCTGGAGAGCAATACCAATCAGAAATTACCCCAATAAACTTGAAGTATAACTGGTTTAGGATGTTAAAGTGCCATATGATTGTCTTTTCTATTCTAACCAGCAAGGAATCTGAAAGTCCACATAAATCAACTGTTAGATCCAAGCAAACTAATATAATTCAATTAATTGATCAATTACAGATTTATTATAACCAATTGATGTTCAATAAATCTGTAATTGATCAATTTAATTAGGTAATTACCTTTCTAAAGAACAGATAACCTATATCAGCACATGCAAAAAATTTCACGCAAAGTATGAGTCTCTAAATCCTGGATAGGCTAATTTGTTATGTCATCCTTTCTTGAGGTGAAGTATAATCAGTGGTGACATAATAGTAGGATAATTCATAGAAAGGAAAATGCTTTGTTCCAAACCATCACATTCCAGAAATTCTGCTAAGCCATTGAGATCAGCTATAGTTGATCAGGGACAAAAGCCTCAGTAATGTATGAATTTGCACTAAAACAAAATCTAAATTTGCGGCAAGAGTTTTATGAATATACTGAAAAAGTTAGATTGTCACCTTACCTATATTCTGTGATACACCTACCTCCATAACCTTCCCAATGATTTGAGAAGACATGCTGGGATCTTTGTCACAGTCTGCTTTTTCTTTTCCTTGCTTCTACCTTTAATGTTCATTATATAGCACTTGAATTGTTTCAAATAAAGATATTGCCTACTGTAATTCAGAGTTTTATTTGTACTTTTAAAGCATGCAGGTCGTGAATATTATCTCAGTGTAGTTGGCCCATTCAAATTAAAAACTCAAAAAGTTTCAAAAACTTAGTTTCATAAAAGCAGAACATTTGTAATGAAAATTATGTTACACTTGTATTTTTTTAGACAAGCCATTTATTTGAAATACCAACTATATGTAGGATAAAGTCGGTGTTAACATGCTTCTCAGCAACAGTAGAAAAATAGAACCAGTGAAAACCTTTTTACAATTATAATGGTACTCAAAAGAGAAATGTATTCTTTTACAATGCATCACACAAGACTAGAATTCAATTCTAGGCGGTACCTAAATAAAAATTCTATTTTTCTTAAAAATAATATGTACAATTGAAGCGTAAACAAATTTTACAAAGTACTGGTTATGCAGGTTGTAGAAAAAACACTTGCATAGGACATGAAGTTGGTTTAAGAAAATTTCTGAGCCTTTAGCATTGAAGGCACTTTATACCAGTAACAGCACAAGAATTTTATCATGGACACTTAACATCTTTCAGAAATACATACAAGTATAGAAACAGATTGGTTTTTAAGCCTTCAGTTTTCCCAACATTCCACAAATATCCATCCACCATATAAACAAACACGCAGTCATTGGAAGTAACTAGAGTAAGAGTGGTATCTTCGGACCTTTTCAAAATAAAACAGAACAGATGGAAATGGTTTATAATATTTCAAGGTAAAAACAAAGGTACTGAAGGAGAAGATATTAGCCCTTTTCCATTCCTTAATAGGCAGAAAAAGACTGAAGACAAGTTCAAATACAAGATACACTAAATGGTTAGCCGGGCAATTTTGCTTTAAGCTTGCAAGGACTACAAGAAGTAGCTTTGTTAGTATTGCAAACAAAAATATTTGTAAACGCATTGGGTGAATGTCAAAATGCCTTTTGTGGCACTTCCCTCTATAGTAGCAGCCCTTTGTCTTCTGAAAAATGCAGCTGATCACACTAGTGAAGCACCATCAGTTCCTTGTGCCTATGAAAGATTTAAAAATTTTCAAAATATTGTACATGCATGGAAATGGATCTCAGCTACAGTTTAAAACTCCTTTTTCCTTTGTAGGATGCAGTCAAATCAGTTTTGGTACTGTTACAACAAGATTTAACAATAATCTGAAGCTATTTTATGTTCGTTCAGTAACGATCTCTGCCACTTAACAAATTTATTAAATTTATTTGCCACCCATCTCAAATACAAATGACAGTGGATTTATTCCAATATTTGATTAAGATTTTTTTAATCACTTAAAACTTTGAAAAATGGTATATAATCACTTATTAAAATAATGTTGAAGAGCTGAGATTGATTGCGCATACTGCATTTTGAAGATAAAAGCTTTAAACACATCTCATAGCATAGTAAATTATCTGTTAACCAGAATGTAAAAGCAATTTCAATTATGACAAATTCTTTTATTAATTCATTGTTAGGCAAAATTGGTTAAAAAAAAACTGGATCACAGATATTTTTATTGACTGGATTGACTGGATCACAGATATTTTTAAGAAACGCCTTTTGCAAACACAGGATAAAATCAAGATGACTTTTAAAAAGGGACAGATAGGTAGGATGAAATTCCTTATGCAAAGTCAGTAGAAGAGTTACCTAAAGGTCCACAGATAATTTCACTGAGATGTAATTAAAATACACTAGTAATTAACAAAGCCCAAATGTTGATGGGGATTAATGTTCCATTTATATATGGCCCAGAGGAAAAGGCAATAAGCCAGAATTCTGCAGCCTCTCTAAACTCTAGGTCTTCTGCTCAAATGGGAATGTTTAGGCTTAGGTTGTTAAAGAGGTACAACAGCCCTTAGGTCTGCTACAGAATTACCGTCATCTAAAACTTCTGTCAAATGATAGCTTACTTCACTTATGGAGTGTATGTTTTTATGCTTATCATAAGCTATTCCACAGTAAAAAAAAAAAAAAAAGTAAAATGAATTATCTGAATCAATTCAATAGCTACTATTGAGACTGAACATTTGTGCCTTGGGTTTCTCATCCATACATCCTATCACATTTCTCTAGTAAATTGGCTTTGAGTAGAGTTGGAAAAAAACCCTACTTGAAATAGAATATTAATTAAGAATATTGTTTTGGGAGTGTACAGTACGCAAATCCAGGAAACTATCAGAAGAACCCTATCCGTGATCTCTACAAGACAAAGCAAATATACATAGAAAGATTGAGTTTCATGTTCGAAAAAGGAAATATTTTCAGAAATCCTAAATTTTGGTGTGTGTGAATGTACGTGCGCACGTATGCAAAAGAGGGAGGGAGAGGGTGAGAGACGGTGGGAGGGGGGAGGGAGGGAGAGAGCGCTACTACTGGAGATGATAAAATAATGGGATACTATGTTTATCAGTGCGCAAATTGAAGCAAAGCATCCTTCTTGAAACAAGTTTGACAGAAAACATATTTAAATTCTGGATCATTAACAAGATGCTCGACAAATGACAATAAGTAATTATTTTATCCTCAGAGTGTTGTCTTATTACCAAATCAACTTTTCACAGAATTTTTTTTTTCCAGTTCACAAAGATGTAACACAACGCTTGAAATTAATGTAGTGTAAACTATCCGGACAAGGTATTCATTCTCATTTCTTTTTAACAGTGTTTCCCCTTAAAGGGTCAGGACTGGGAACTAAAAGATTAGTGGGGACTTTAAAAAAGAGCTCAGAAAATAATTAAAAACACTTAAACAAAATGTACATTTCAACAGTCTCAAGTACAGTATTTAAAAATAGATTTAAGGTTAGCTAACAATGTTAAAAAAAGGTTCAATGTTGCTAAGGTTCAAGTGATGGAAGAGCTGTATTTAATAGAATTAACCACCATATCAAGTCAAGCCTTTGCTAGGTATTACCACACAGTGGTACTGATTTTTTTCCAGTCCATGCAAGAGAAATACGTGGCAAGTACCTGAAACAACTGACTACTGAAATGGCCATTCTTAGTGGCAATAATCTATCCGCCCAGCATCTCTACTTTATGTTCATGAAACCCAAAAGAACCTCCCTTCCAATATTAACCAACTTCCACCAACTCCAAACTATTCAAGAGAGGAATGAAGAAATTAAGTGCTAAACTGTTTATAGCTCATTAAGTTGTAGCCATCTTCAAATATGCTTTCTGACCACAAAAACAAAGTATATATATATAACATTACTAAAACTGCAGCCCTTGATGTCTTCAGAGAGAGAAAAAAGGCAGTAAGCATTCCTCTTGACTTCTCCTCAGAGGGCTGCTCTACCAAATGTAGCATTAACACCCATGTCAAATGCTAAACAATTTTTCTTACCACCTTGTGCTTACCATCTATGTGTTTGTCTAAAATGAAGAACCAGAAAAGCACGGCTACAGAACTGTCACCCATGTGAAGCATTCGTCACACTGCAACCAAAGGGCTTAGAAAGTTGTTTCTTCCAAGTTTTCACGCTCCAAAAGGAAAAGAATATTTTCAGAAATCATAACAGACTTGTACTCCTCACTTTCAAAGAAAATCCTGGCCACAGACATTGCTGAGCACTTGCTACATCAGCAGCCTGTGACGTGGTAAACAGAGCATACACATCAGACTGGATTCTTGTATTAGTGGTAAAGCAGAAAGGTTGCGAACCTAACCAGAGCAGTTTTGTAAGTGTGCTGTTCTTTGGAATTCCTATTGTCATTAAAAAATAAAGACAGATATTTTCACCATCTTGTAAGAAAATACATCTTAAATATGCAAGTATGCAGCTAATGCACACTGAATACCGGGAAATGATTTCTTTTAAAAAAAAAGACACTCAAAATAGTATGAACATACAGTCCTATAAAATATGACAGTAGAAGTTTAACATACCAATATAAAAATTAATAAAATTAATGTACAGGTGCAAAAAGGCTACCTTTTATTTTTCCTTTTTTAAAGGTGCCAGTTAAAATATATATTTTTTCAGAATTTTAGCAAAAATCTGTTGAAAACATAAACCCTGAAGCAGCATACCAAATAAACTGGGAGCATGCTGTTTCTTAATGAAGCCATGTATATACAAAAATAATAATTAAAAAAAACGATATAGCGGCTGGCATTGGAAAAAACTGGCCTGAGAAAATGTCAGGCCAGGGATTTCAAAGACTGATCTTTCACAAGTCTTAGGCACAGAGAAGAAGTGGAGGTGGATGGTTTTCAGAGGGCAGATTTTTTGTATAGGAAGTCGGGAGACTTTCTTCCTCTACTTACAACCTCTTCTCTTTCCAAATCTACATTTCTCTGGACTTCGCTCTCCAGAGGCTCCGTGTCGACCAATCTCCTGCTAGATGGTTCATCGCGGATTTCTTCCCTGTAGGAAGGCAAGGAAGGTCGACTAGAGGTTAGGCCGTACGTTAAATCCGTTTCCATTTTTGTACGTCCCCTTGCATGAATGGATAGATTCCCAGGGTTCTCCTGGGCAGCCAAAGCCAAGTCCAACCTCTGGGGAGGTTGTTCTAAGACATTGAGGTGTATCGTTTCATTCTTTTGTCTGTGCGAATGCCCTTCTTGAGAAAGTGCATAGTCTCTCCTGGAATCTTCTAGCTTTTTAGGAGAGATGTGATTAGGTAACTGAGTGGTTTTTAAGCCGCTGGGCGATGCTTTATTGTGGCTATATAAATCGGGGCTAAAATAGATACCTTGGGAAGGTGAAGGTGTGTGCCTGGTAAGGGAAGGAGTAGAAGGCCTGCATGCAGCATTCGAGAAATCATAGAAATCGGGATATTCCTGCTGACACTCTCTAGGATCCAGTTTTTGCTCAGCTGAATGTTTCTTCCGTGAACTATGTATGTGCCTTGTCTGAATGCATGAAATGTGCTGAGGTGGTCCTGGTGTAACTTCCAGGACAGGCTCTGTGTCCACTGTAAGCTCTGGCAGCCTCCTGTCCTTCAGAGATATAGTTGACACACCCATTGCAATATCCGGCATCAGTTCATTGAGAACAGGTTGAATACCCTGAAAAAGAGAAAACCAATTACAACTTCTTGTCAGGTTTCCTAAAGATGCCCTAATTGAATCAAAATTAATGAGTCAATTTTTAAATACAAAACCAGTGATTTATTAGGAGTACCATTAGGCAAGATCTGTTCGCAGTGAAGCCTGTGCTTTGCTTGATTTACTTCTGAACTTTATCCCTGTCCCTTCCCTTCCCTCCCCTCAGTCTGTGACATACATCACATTCCCCTGTAAGATGCGGTTCCACCACAAAACCACGTTCGACTAAAGCGCGCTTGACGAAACCGCGTAGCTGACGTCATCACAGCGCAACGAAAAAAGCACGCTG